TCAAGTAAGCAACATGAGATCGCCTAAGCCGCATATACAGGGTGTCCCAGATCACCTTCACAATATCTCGTGAGGACGTAGAGCAGATTCAGATGAACACAAAAGTCCCATATCATTTTGTGATATTCGCAATAATAGTCGAGATATTAATTAAAGAAGATTGGTGAATGATCACTAAGTAAGCAACATGAGATCGCCTAAGCCGCATATATAGGGTGTCCCAGATCACCTTCACAATCTCTCGTGAGGACGTAGAGCAGATTCAGATGAACACAAAAGTCCCATATCATTTTGTGATATTCGCAATAATAGTCGAGATATTAATTAAAGAAGATTGGTGAATGATCACGCGCGATATGGTAGATGAGCTGCAGTGGCACCATCTGCTGTTGTATACTTATACATTAAGTCAAACTGAACAAAAAAGTCTTCTACTATTTTGCAAATGACCACATAGATTTTTAGATATTAATTAAAGAAAATTGTTACATGATTGTGTACCACAATGCACAAATTTTCTTTTATTAATATCTAAAAATATCTATTAATATCTAAAAATCTATGTGGTCATTTGCAAAATGGTAGAGGACTTTTTTGTTCAGTTTGACTTAATGTATAAGTATACAACGGCAGACGGTGCCACTGCAGCTCATCTACCACATATCGGGATCATTCACCAATCTTCTTTAATTAATATCTCGACTATTATTGCGAATATCGCAAAATGATATGGGACTTTTGTGTTCATCTCATTCTTCTCTACGTCCTCACGAGAGATTGTGAAGGTGATCTGGGACACCCTGTATACGCGCCCTGTATAGGCGATCTCATGTTGCTTACTTACGTGTACATTCGCGAGAAAAAAAACGTGCGCGTGCATGACGTTTGGTTATATTGATTTTAGTATTCGTAGCGAACTTATAGCGCGCGCGTGATCGCCACGCAGCAATCATTCGAAATGCTCGGCTTGCTGATGACAGTGATGCAGTTACCTTACACCAATATCTCGCTTCATCATGCTCAATCACATGAGTAACGATTGTCGAGGTGCGCACGCGAGAAAGAGTGGGGAAAGAGCATCTTTCTCTCCCTCTCTCTCTCTCTCTCTGAATTGGAACGTCATTCTAAATACCAATCGCTTGACCAAGAGTAAAGTTTACGAATTGAGCGAATTGTCCTTGCGCTTGATATCTGCGCCAAACAGGCAGCAGACATATTGGGAAACATAATTTCCTTCATTTGTCCTTTCTTGTTTGTTTGTATAGCTTAAAAACTTGTACAGTGAGTATTGCGGGGTGAATGCTTAAGATATGCCTGGACGCTCAACAGAGAGTTTCACAACGTGCAGTTGTGCATCTTTGCCATTTTTCCAGTTTCATTCTTTATGCGTTTAACGATTCTACTATCTGATTTACGTTTGTGTTTAATAATTATTCACGGATTTATTGATTCTTGGTACATTTAGGAATGTTTGTTCGCTGAAGAGAGTGCAATAATGAGACTGAAACGATTGAATGCTATTGAATTGATTTATTGATTTTCGTTGTAACATCAACGTTAGCTCTTACTCATCTTATTTTCTGTTCTTGAATCGTTGACTGAATATCACAAGAACTATTGAGTACTTATTCGCGTGAAAAGCTAGTGATATTTCCCGGGGCTTGACCTTGACTATTTCACAGAGTCCATCAGAAGTGACGCGAAGAAGATATCGAGCTAACTTCACTCGCGCTTGCGTTTCCAAAAATATCTATTTCTTTTCCCATAAAAAATATGGAGTGGTTCTTTGTTGGCAGGATAGAGGAATTTGTAAAAAAAAAACATCCACCCTCTTGATCGTCAGTAGCATACATACATTTCGTGGGAGCGAATACACGGATGTGTATTCGCGTGTGATTGTAAATTTAGAACGCGGAAGATAAGTAAGTGTAGGGCCGGCGAGTTTCAGCTGGTGCCTTTGTTCGATCCTTGAAAGATAACTCGGCGGCTCTTCGGGTTTCGGCCAGGTACTTGCTCGGAGGCAAAGCGAGCGCAGGTGGTCAGCCCCTCCCTTTGAGTCCCAGATTGCTAGCGGGTCCAGCGAGAAGGAGCAGACCAACTCGAGATTCGAGAGAGGCTCCGATCATCTCACGTCGGCTTTTTCGAGCGACACAGCGAGCTACCTAGATGACTAGAATATACCGTGTGGAAAGAACGCTATTGAAATTACGAGGAAATGTTATTGACCGAGGAAACGATACATGTCAAACCGAATGCATCGTAGGACCCTAAGCAAAGACCCTGCAAATAATGCTGCTTGCATTTTGCGTGGAGCTGAAAAATCTATTGGACCGTGCATTATCACAAAATCCTTGCGTGAAAGGAAAATAAAAATCCTCCTGCGTGAAAGGAAAATAAAACGAAGATTTTTTTCAATTTGACACGTGCGGAGTCTTGAAGTCATTCATTTTATGAATTTAACGAAAGGAAAGATATAAAAATTTCGCGTTTCTAGAGAAGTATTTTTGCGTCGAAAAAATTCCATATGTCGAGCATACGCTTATAAATGGTATCGGCACTGATAAGATATCAGGCGAATGTAAAGGTTATTTCTACTATACTCAGTGTGCTAGTAAACAAAATATTATTGGAATGAATAATTCTTTTAGAGATTTCCATTTGAATTAAATACTT